TGTGGTGATAATAAACCTCAAGATCTACAAGATATCTATATAAATTGTGCTCTGATTTACTACAGAAAATTTTAGATTTTTTTCCCAAGTTTTCCCATAAATAGGTAGTGATGACTAATAAATATTTAATATTAGTAGTTAATAATTATGTTATAGTAAACTAGACAAAATTTCCTTTAAATAAAGTAGAATTTGAATTTGTTCTTGATACAGATTTTTCTCAGATCTTTAGTAGGGGAATATAACCTTTCTGTATGAAGTAACAAACTAAATTATTTTAATTCTTAAACTTATTTTTTAATGAAAATAAATCAAGTAATTCCAGATTTTCATTTTTTAATTTTACAAATTTTAATTAAAAATGCAATAATAAGATCACTTTAAAATTTTCTTGATGCCCCAACCTGTCTTGCGGCATAAGGATTTTCATTTACCCAATTATGGCTATATTTGAAATAAAATATCCCTTTCTTTGTAAATATGACATCATAAGAAATATTTTCCTATGGAAATAAGAGTTTCCTTTCTTTAATTTCCAAATGTTTCAATATTGCATCCAGTTGCAGCTTTCATTACCAACAGTATATTATTACCAATTTAGAGTAACAGCTCATTATAGTATATTAACATTTTTAAAAATAAAAAAAACCAAACCCTATATTTGTATTTAATACAATAAGGATCAATTTTCGTAGCCCGTAATCATGACAGAGATCTTTGTAAAAAAAAACTATGGTTCATTATCACAATAGATAATGTTTAAAAAAGAAATATTTTTTAAACATATTTAAAAAACAAAATAAGTGTATATTCATAATTAAATTATTATAACGTATCCCAAGTCATATAGGAAAAAGAGATTAGAACATTAGAATAATTTATCATTGTTATTTTATTTGAAAACATAGATACTTTAGTGAGTCACAATATCAAATCACATAATGTTTTTACTCAATTAGAAGGAAATCTCGACTTATTCTGTAACATATTTCATCTAAATTTATATAACCTTAAAGCTTATTAAACAAGTGTTTCGTATTAAAAAAGTGGAGTATCTATAGTCTAGTTGTTGAATGAAAAATAAAAATCCTCAATTTTATGAAAAGTCGAACATAGCTTAGTATAGCCACTTAAAAATAAAAAATAGAAAATGTTCTGAGTTAATTATGAATCGAATGTCAGCACGACAAAGATGAAATTATCAATAGCACCTTTTTAGCTTTTTGAATTGAAGTCATTCATCAAGGAAGTCCATTGTTAATCAGGAACCATCGCGTTTTTTTTGTTTTTGAGCAATTTGAGCTTGACAACCACCTTATTTATTTTTGTGCCATTGGACCCAGTCAAAATATAAACTTAAAACCAATTAAAAAATTTATATTAATTAATCCAAATAAATAAATAATAGAAAAAGAACGAAATGAGAAAACTATTAGAAATTGAAAGTAATATTTTTCAAAAATTAAAATATATTCTAAGAATCAACTAATAAAATAAAAAATAACTTTCAAACAATACAACGCTAATTCAAAATTGGGATTATGTAATGAAAATAAATTAAATTATATAGGCTTTGATGACCTTAGGGTTACACACCTCTAACCCAAAACAAATAAGAAATTATATCACCAATACCAAAGATAAAATAGGAAGAATGAATAGGCAAAGTGTAATGTGTATTATAAAGCGTAAAATTAAATAGACAATAGAAAAGAATGTGATAATAAATATTATAAAGAAGAAATACCCCATACTCTAGAAACCAGAATAAAGCAACACAACAGAACCAAAAATAAAAATAAAGTAATTGATATTTAAGCATTAACAAACCATTTAATTATAAAAAAAGTCATTATAGTTTTGTTTTTTATAACATTATTGAAAACACAGAAAAAAAAAAAAAAGAAAGCATAATGAAGCTCTAACCAAAAATACTAACAATACAGTGAATTTCAAAACAGACATGAATTGGGTGCCATTATACATGCATTACAATACTAATAAAATTCTACCTACTTTACAGTAATTTTAACAGCTTGTGGCACATCTCATTCATATATGAAAATTGAACTCTTCTAAGAAGAATCATTTAAAAATTAATATGTAAGTGTTCCAATGGCTTAAAGGATGTTTACATTATAAGTTAAAATTATATTCCTTAGGAAACTTAGGATCATTTTAAAGTTGTAAATTATGATTACTTTTATCAACCATTTATCAATAATTGAATCTTTGTCAACAATTAACTACTTGCTAGAAAAAGTCTACTAGCATATATAAATTACAGCTGCTCTTAGATTTGTGTAAATTTTTAAGTTTAATTCTTATTTCACTCCGCTAAAATTATTCCACAGATGCTATTTCAAATTAAAGTCGACATTGACAATGATGAAATCGTGGGATCATACTTTGCTGAATTTCTATATCATAAATATTTATAATATGGTCATTTATTTTGATTGAAAAAATAAAATATTCTTTTTTAAATAGTTCAATGGTATTAGTGGCAGTGTTCACCAAATTGCTTAAGAATTTCTCTTACGAAAAAATTTACATGCACAGATTTATTGAACAAATGTAAATCTGTTTTTAAAGAGATATTCCTCCCACCACAGGATAGACTTCTAATTTAACTATACCTATATTGCATTTAACTATACATATAATGCACTAACCCAATGCAAACAGATGTTCATCGGATTACTGATTTTTTTAAATACTTCACAGAAGTATTCTTTAAACTGTGATGGTCAATTCTGGTACTTTGTCTAGCTTTCTGAGTGATATCTGTTTGTAATGAATATTTATACTATTAAGTGGTTTAAACCAAATAATTTAATTTATTACATCTTTATATACCTCATTTAATTCATTAAGTGGAGCTTTTGGGTTGTATAATTGTATACAACTTATAATAGAAAAATATATATTGTTGGGGAAAACAAAAGTAAAATTGAATAAAACAAATAAATAAAATTAACTAATGGTTGAAGTTAAAACAAAGAAAGACCAAGTAAGGAATATCACTATCCGATCCAACCTGGGTCTGCACGATTCAAGAGAAAAATAGAAGAGGTAAGGTGGTTTGGACATCTCTCGAATGGCAGAATACAGAATAGCAAGGTTCACTTATGAGACACAACTGATAAGTAGAAGACATAGAGGACAGCCTAGGAAGATCTGAGAGAGCAGAATAAGGGAAGCCTTTGACGAAGAGTTATAAATTAGACAAAAAGAAAACAATTGCCACAAGATAAAGATTCATTGATTAAGCTCTTTAAGCGGAAGCCTTTCACTGCTTAGCGTTGGACGAGGTTGGATTAAGTAAGTATAAATTACGAAATGAAAAGAAAAATATTTGAGCTACACTATAAATTTCTGGAGTCTACCTTAAAAATTCATTGCTGTACGCATTTACAGAAAGTAAGGAAAAGTGGATTACAGGTCTTTTATAATGAACAACTGTACAGGTGTTTACAACACCAATAGCACCATTCAAATTTCCGAGACACTATGTGTTGAATTCTGACAAAACTTTGTACTAGTAAGTCTCTATATAAATCATACAGTTCCTTGTTTTTAATCATGGATGGATTAAATACTTTCTTTCATTAATTCAACTTTTATACAGTTGAATTTTTTGGCTTCTTTCACATGAATAAGTTGCCAATGTTCTTATTTTCATTTTATAATGGATTAGTTTTGGATTCTCAGTGAAGTTTGCTTCTTAGAAGCTTAGAGATAATTAAATATACTTTATTAGATGATGCGATCCTCCCACATGACGGAATTTTCATGAAATCTGGTTAGAAATGGTTCCTCACATCTGTAATCCAGCTCTTTAATAATATAGAATAACATTCTTGAGGGTATTGAATAGTAGCAGTGTCTTTCCTTGACTTTTCAGAAGAAACTGGTCGATGGAGAACTTATATATTAGTTTGAAGTTATATATGATGTACCGTGGTGACAGAGGACTCACATATGAGAGGGGAGCCTGTGGAGTTTTTTCTTGTTAAACAACGGAGGGCTCAGTGATAAATTCTACTTTCAAACTATCTCATGGCCTTCGCCAGCTAATCCTTGTGACCCATGCCTGACATGGCCTTCTCTTGGTACCTTTTATAACTGTATTTGTCCCTTGCAAAGTGTAAAAGAACATGGCAGAAACATAAAACAGTTTCGTTTTTTAGTTTTAGATTTATTCAATTGTATAAAAGGTAAATTAGGTAGAAAAAATAAAGGTTTTTAAAGATACTATTTTTAAAAAAGAAAATTTAGAAGGTCTTGTTACTAATTTAAATTGTATAAAAGTTAGATGAAAACAAAATAAAGAAGTTTTGTTCGATTTCCTAAATAATAACTCTAAAGTGGTCAGTAGAGGTGATTACAAGTATTCCATTATAGGGGCACGGAGTGTCCGCCAGTGTTAAATTATATTCCTTAGAAAACTTAGAATCAATTTTAAGTTGTAAATTACGACTACTTTTATTAACCATTTATCAATAATTGAATCTTTGTCTACAAATAACTACTTGTTAGAAAAATTCTAATTCAAGTGTCTACCAGGACTGTCCTCTAGTCCACCCCATCCTTCCCTCCCATCATTGCTAAAATACTTAAATCTATTATGTTATTTACTTTATTATTTTTATAATATCTGCTACCAAGATAACATTAATACATATTGTTGATTTTAAATCATCATTGTATTAATTATGTGTTATTAATACAGAATAGTAAAAAATATAATTATGCATAAATTTACACTAAATGATATATGTTTTGCTCTTATATCAATATTTTATAATAGTCAAATATTCCAAAATATTAAAAAGAAAATAAAGGAATGAGAACTATGAAGTTGTATTGTAAAAAATTTCTCAAGAATATAAAATTAAAATACAGAAATCTTATCAATTAATATAGTATTACATCAATATTTAAATTATGGTAATCATAAATAAATATAATTAATATTATTACAATAAATAAATTAGTCGGTATTCATATATCTAAAAACAATAAATATGTTTACTATCTGTACAATATCATTCACATTAAATAATTTATGTAGACTAGCATCCGACTGCTATTTACAATAGTTCTTATTAAATTACTGATGACTGTATGCGTTGTATGCAAGATTTTGTGGATAAGGTAAATCTCGATAAGACATTCTGTCATAAGCAGCTCCATCTTCTGTATAACGATGTTCATGTAAACTTGGGGGAGCGTTGTAGAAGCTGCTATGTCCATAGCTGCCGTAACTATGGCCTAAATCAGGCTTGCAAACCTACAACAGGAAAAAAAACATAACTTCTCTGTATTATATAAAAACGTTTTTAGTGACAGTACAATATTTTATTTTAGATATAAAAAAAAGCAAGATAGACCGTAACGGAGATACCACTATTCTTATTACCAGAATTATTCTTATTATCCTTATTATGGTTACAAATTGGCAATGAGAATAATTATAATTATATAATAAAATAAATTGACAATAATTTGCCACTTATAATATAGATTTTTAAAGAAATTAAAAATTTGTGTGAACTGACTAAATACCTATGAATCACCATTGATGAAAACCTAGCCTGGAAACACCATATCGCCCTCTACTCCTGAAAGTCAATAGGTACCCTTAAGTTATTTCATCGCTCTCATCACCTACTCCCACAACCTATCTGCAAGCTACTTGTATCCTCTCTTATTTTCCCCCACTTTCACTATAGCTGTTTGGTGTACAGAGGCATACCGATGGTACTCGAGAATATATTGAAGCGACTAATGAACTAGTTCTTAAGATTTTTCTTTGATACTTCGAGAAGGTCTCATGTGTCCCACCTTTACGACTAGTTAAAGTGGTTCCTCCCTTCTTCTTCCCCCTCCCTCCTTGATAATATTTCCTTGGATCCTACCTATTATAATTGATCAACACTCAACACTCTTCCTACATCTACAGTGTACTACAGTTCAAACCCGTGGTCCACTCCCAGAAGGCAAGCTCCCGTGTTTCCGATCTCTTTCTTTTCCTCAGTCTCTTCCTTTTCCTCAGTCCTTTTCCTCATATCATCTCTACCAATTTCTTCTCACATCCCAAAATGATGCTGTACAATCAAATAAATTTTATAAATCAAATTTTGATAGAGGTGAATGGTTTTTAAAATTTGTTTTGTTTGAATTCTAAGAATCAACTCATAGTGCTTATAACATTTTTTTTTTTATTTCTTTGATTTTTGTTTTTCTTTTCATTTTAATAATGTTAGTTTTTTGTTTCATTTTTTTTTTTCTAAATGGTTTTACACTTTTTTTTTAATATATATTTTTTCTTATGATATTGTATATATTCTTTAATTTTAATTAATGTAATTTGTGGCCAGATGTGGTTTGTGTTTTTTGTTCATAATGTTATTCTAGAGGGATCTTTTTCCAGAATAAAGTTTCTTTTCTTTTCTATTCTATATATTATAAAAATGAAGTTCAGTTTTTCATGATTCTTTACATTTACTTTTATTGTAACATTGAGTTTACCCCCCTTTTTTTTTTCTTAAACTGTTATAAATGGAAAGAATGTAATTAAGAAAATTATTGAGTTTGTTGTACCATTTTCTCTTATTATGAGTCCAATTATTTAAATCTAAATATGCTTCATAATTTAAATTTAGGATGCAGCAGATGACCAATCAACAAGATCAATATTGTGGCCTTAAATTACTGTATTGATTTCTTTTTACATGTGAAGTCGTTGGTTAACTGAACATTTTGATTTCATCAATTATGTCATATATTTTTTAACTGGTTGACACGGAATCCTTGGGTATCGCAAGTATATAATAGGGGCATCACAGCAATAATATTTGGTTTCAATATTTAATATTTGACATCAAGATTTTCAGTTTGGTAAATAAATATTCTAAAAATGAATATGTTTATATTTATTAATTATGGAATTAATATCATACAAATTTTAGGTATTATCTGAAAAATATTGTGTTTTGTTTATATATCATCCCTTCCTGTAAGTTGTATAGCTCAAAAGTAATGAAAATCCATCTATTTATATACTGTACAAAAAATGGATAAAGATTCTTAAATGCTACTTTAAGGATAAATGTGGGACAAATTATTTTAATCCTATAAGTATATCACAAATATTTTTTATTTCTAGAAGGATGCTGCAGAAAAAAAGTTTGGCAAGTGCCCTGTGGTTTCATCCATATTCGATGTGTGCCATCTACCATATGTATGAAAGAGGCATATTTACTCTTTCATACATATGGTAGATGTGTGACTAAGTAGTCTGTGATACAGACTCCTTTTTATGAAATCATTAACATCCACCTGAAACTTTGTAAATAGTTTCATCTCATCGTAACCTACAACTATTTTATTTACGAAAACTCTTGGAATTAGAGCATTTTCAATCTGGAGGGGGGAAAACTTTTTCTATTTAATTAGGTACTAAAAACTCATAAATACACATTTGCTTCCTACTTGGATCGTAAGATAATTTGATAACAAAATAGAGAAAAAAGGCAACAATAAAAAATATTGAGCCATTTAGTGTGACATACAAGCCCAAATTTTCAAAATAACGAGGTTATATAGGCAAATGGCCCAATGTTTTTGTAGATCACCTTTTTTTATCGATTTTGTGATCAAATTATCTTGCATCAAAGTAGAAAGCAAATGGTTATTTACGAGTTTTTAGTACCTAATTAAATACACAAACTTTATCCCCATCCAGATTGAAAATGCCCCAATTCCAAGAGTTTTCATAAATAAAATAGTTGTAGGTTACGAAGAGATAAAACTATTTACGAAGTTTCAGGTGGGTGTTAATTATTTGATAAAAAGGGGTCTGTTCCACTGACTAAAGTGCATTATATTAGCTGAGTAACATCTAACATTTTTGTAAAAAAACAAAAGAAGGTTTGTTAAATCATTAGTCAATCAAACTTTTTGAGTGGGAAACATTTTGAATTTTTAAGGAGGGACATTTCATGGGGTTATGAATTTCAAAATGAAAAGTTCAAAGCAAGGAGCAAGGAAGAAACATGGAATAGATCGCATCAAGTATAATTGTATGTGATCTATGACGTTTTAAATTATACTTTTGCTTGCATTGTTTTTAAGAAGAGAAGAGCGAAAAATATCTTGGGAGGGGAGGTTGAGATTAATGCGCCGTCGATCTTGGAGGGCACCTCTGAAACAATCTACATCAATGTGACAGAATAAGTAAGAATTTACAGTATATATAAGTTGTTTAGGCATTCTGATGTTTCAATCCAAGCATGCGGGACATCATCTAGGCTATAAATTAAAAACTCAGAAAAATTGTATTTTCTGTCAAAAAAAAAAGAGTCTGTTGCTGTATATTGTTAATAAAATATTCTGAATAGGGAGTTAATTCCATGAATTTTTTACAAAACTATTTTGATTTTTTATTAATAAAACAGAAGTCTATTTTTTCAATAATTAAATCAAATTTATAATTATTTATAAATTAAAAGACTAAAAAATTTCCAAAGATTATAATTATTTCAACTAAATATTTATCTATGTGGCGGTGTCATAACATTTACATTATTTAATGTTGTTTATTAAATAATTTATTGTATATTTATATAATAAATTGTTGGCTTACCTTAAAATAAGCAATGATCGCTGGCAAAACAAAGAATGCTATTCCAAGTAGCTTCTTGAATGAAGCCACTCCCAGTATTACAGGTAATAGAAGAAGAAGTTTTAATTTGAATAGTTTGATTATTACCAAAAGTGGAATAAACAGCCTCCTCAAGTCAGATTGTTCTGCAACAGTTAATTTTTAATCAATAATTTGTTCATTTCATGGAAGCACCATTTCCAAAATAGCAATATGATGTTAATGAAATGAAATGAAAAGAAAAAATAATTTCATTCTGGGACTACAGTCCCCTAAGAATAATAACAGAGTTCCATAATTAAGAGCATTAGTCTGGCTCAGATGAATACAAAATTATGTCTAATTAACTGTTGATTCTTTTTGTAACTGCAGTTGATTGAATTAGATTTTGTACAGACGCAATTGAATTTTATATGTTTGCGGAAGTTTGAATATGGAGCAGGTGGTGGAAAAGGAGTTGTTTGAAGGAATTTGTGGATAAGGATTGATGTATGGAGTTAAGTAGAGAGTTCCAAAAGGAGGCAGCGCGAATGTCATAGAAGGATTTGCTGAAGGAAGTAGTTTTATGGGAGGGGATATATAAATCTATTAATTGAGACCTGTTATTGAGAGAGTGGATAGAGGAACGTAAAGTAAGGAGTTTCAGGATGTAGGGAGGGTTTATGGTTCTGAGGATTTGGAAGAGGAAAACGCCTAGGAGGAATTGTCATCGGGAAGTAGGTTAAAACCACTTCAACTCGGTGTATTTGAATGAAACATGGGAGCGCATGAGAATCCCAAATATGTATCTTATGAAACAGTTCATGAGCTTCTTTAGTCTTATTTCTAGCCTGGCAGATAGCCTTCCATACACCAAGCAGCCGTTGCCAAAGTGGGAGAATATAAGGGTGGTAAGAAGGAGCTGTCTGGTTTTCAGAAGAATACAATCACGGAATCTTGAGAGTTGTTTAAGGACAGTTATGGATTTTGAGGTAATCTGGGATATATGGTTATTCCAGGAGAGGTTCTGGTCAAAGGTTACTCCTAGGTTTTTGACTGTAGGAAAAAAACGGATAGGGCGGTTATTGAGGTAAAGTAGAGGAAAGTAGGGAAGGGAACTAATGAGATATCTGGACCCGATGAGAATTGCCTTAGTTTTATCTGCATTCAGCTTTGACTCATTTCTTTCAGCCCATCTTTTGATGCAGTCGATATCCTCTTCTAGCTTTTGGATAGCCTCAGGTATCTCAGAAGGTTAGAATGATTGGTAATTTTGAAAATCATCCGCATATAGGTAGTAATGGGAATGTTGAAAGGCACCAGAAAGGGCACTAATATAAATAGAGAAAAGGGTCGGAAAGTCTTCATATGTTAGTAGTTTAAAATGTTTAAATATAAGCATGAATGTTCATTCAAAAGTATTACTATACTGTCAATTAAATTGAAGGATAACAGATATGCTTAAACAAGCAAGTTTATTTTTTATTTTATAATTCAAAAATCTAGTAATTGACATGTCAATCGTATTTTTGTTCCATTGAAAACAGCCTTATTCCTCATTACTTCTTTCATTTATTACTGTAAAAATTATAATAGTTTTGTATTTAAGAGAACTGTACCACTGTAAAAATCCTTTTTAAAAAGTGACTAAAATATTTAAAGTAACAATCTAAACTCTTTTTCTATTTATAATTTATTTATTTATAGCATAAGTTGGTTAGGTGGGAGAGGAAATACATTAAAAGTAGTATAAATCTATTGTTTTCTTTTTATCTTGATGCTATAGGTTATAGGGAACATAAACAATTAATCCTTATAACCCGTTCATTAATTTATTATACTACTGTAACAGGTTCTTAAATTGATTTAATTCTCTTAGATCCCAGGCTGAATTCGAAATGATGCTGGTTCGAATCAGGTCTGAGCAGGTTAAAATTCATTTTGTGGCTGACCCAATGAATCTCAACTTTTCCACTCTGGTTAAAAAAGTTTTGGTTGTATATCTAGAACAACTCCCTGTATGCCAGAAATGGTGAGTCAGTGGTATTTATAAAAAAAGCGGTGGAAGAGTTTGTGAATGACAATTATTGGAACTACTGAAGCCATCAGCCAAACTTTCAAATAGGGGGAATGACGTAATCAATTACTCCTCATTAGCTACCCTACTACAATTATTTTTAAAAAAGACCATTATGGTAAATATAAAATTTATCTAATTTTCTTTAAAAAATTGAAAATGTTTTTTTAACTGAACAGTTTGATTAACTTACAATAGTTATCAAAATATAACATTTATCTATATTGGGTAAATCAAAATACATTTAGAAGATTACACCAGTAAATAAATAATGTAGTTTCCTGTAAACTGTGTATATAAGGGAATTTTATAGAATACATTTATTATCAGGGTATGTTTGAATTAATATTGATGCATATCACTCTATTTTATTTTTTACAATAATTTTAAATTAGTGTTATTTCATATTTTTTGATAGATTGGATTGAACCTTTAATATACCTCTCCAGGAAATTGCTAGTATAGAATTTTGTATTTTTATTTACTATGTATCATTGGGATGTGATTAGAGATTGGCAAAACTGTTCATTTTTATGTTTTAATAAAAAAAAAGCTGCTTTTTCTCATTACTCATTCCTTATTAATACAATAGTCATTTTTAAAAAACTGTATTATAAGCAATTTTCATCAATCCTTCTGCAAAAGGGATCTTGAAATGTTACAGTAGGATTTTGTATAAACTTTAAGGATGGAGATTATGGGGTATGAAAACTCATTTAGTTTAATCCTGAAATAGAGTTAAACTCTTTTTTGGAGAAAAAAAATTAATCAATATAAACTTCTCATTCTACAAATATGGGATATTAAAAATATTTTATAAATATGGTGACTATAATAAGGCCTATTTGGACTAACGGAAGTGACCTGTGGGATTCCACTAAACTATCAAATTCCACACACTCCATAATCTTTCATAAAATCCTCAATGCTCCTTACTTTGTCACAAATAAAATCGTCCATAACGACCTTACTGTACCATATGTTTCCGATTTAGCACAATCCAGATACCTATCCTTCCGTAATAAACTTTTGAACCATCCGAACCCTCTTGTTTCTAACGTTCCTTCCTCTTCTATTCCTGATAACCCTCTGAGGCGTCTGAGAAAAAGATGGCCTCAGGTTTTTCTAATATTGAACTATAACTGGAGTGCTACCAGTGGGTAGTTTCTCTTCGTGTTGTACATGTCTTGTTACCAATTTCAAATTTACTAGTTGTATTTTTTATCTAATACAGTTATAAATTTCAATGAATATGTTTTAAAAAAAACTACAACTAAATATGGTCTAATATTTTGAGCAACGATGTCTAGGCATTACTCAGTTTCAGAATACTACATTTTAAATTGTAAAATCATAGTAAATTACATGACAAAATAAACAATTTGTTATTTTTATCTAAGTTAACTAATCAAAATAATAATTTTTGGGCATTCATGAGTTTTAGAATACTAAATTGTAAATAAATTTATAAATTTCATTTAGGACTATTTTAAAAAATATATTATTGGGGTTGTTATGTAGATAAATTAGATAGTAATTCTAATTTAGTTGGTGTTGTGAAGTTGGTCGAGAGGGTGGTCATCAGACATATGCCATATATTATAGTATTGTTTATTTTAATTGCCAATATTCTGACTTAGATTGTAGGTCTTTATCTGGGCATTTCATCTAGCACTTCCGGAAGAAGTTGGAAAACAAAAACAGTTAGGAAGTTTCCTAACATCTTCTGGCAGTACCAGATGAAATGTCCTGATGAAGACTTAAAACGTAGGTTGAAATGTTGAAAAATAAAATAAATGCTACTATAATATATAATATTGCCTATTGACCAACTTCTCCTTATATTATTGGAGCAGATATTTTTTTATAAGAATTAATTTATATTTTTGAAAAAAATCGAATTTTATGAAGTTCTTTTATAATTATTAAAAAAATAATTTCCAACTAATAAGGTAGCAATGAGTATTACGATGAAAAATAATAAATAGGTAATGAGTATCCGGTATTACATAATTATTTTGATACTTGATAATTGAGAACACTTTGATAGTTAGCACCAATTCGGAAGAAAAGTAAGCTCTTGATAGTTTTAAACTTAAATTGGTAATATGAAATAAGAATTCAAAAATAATTTTATATATGATATCTGTATAAAGTTTTGTTTTGTTTGTCTAAAGAGAAAATGACTTTTTTTAATGTAAATGTTTCAATTTCTCCTGTGGGAAAAATGTGTCCCATCCATTAGTGGGACAGTTTACAGCTGAGTTGTCTACTAATGAGGAGTAACCTAGGACCTAAATGAAGGGACAGTTAAGAGGTCATGTGTGCTTCTCTCTGTTTCTCTGTATCACTTCTCTCCCCATTCATATCTCTCTTCATATTGGTAATCTTATGATTAAAACAATCAAATCAGTAATACTTATGCTCTTAAGCTGACTTAATACTATCAATAACCAAACACCACATTTATAATTACCAGAAAAAAATGTAAAAATAAACCCTCAAATGGAAACTGCAGTTATATACTGAACAGCCTTGGTTATTTTAATTTTATTAAAAGCTTTAGTAGATTGTTTATAAATTTTAGTATAGTATAACATTTTACTTGACCTAGAAGAAACTTTGCTGTAAGAATGTTTATAACCTTGATAGTTTGCAATAACCATGATCAGCACAAGTTACATCAATAAAAAAAAAAAAATTATTTTGCATTGAACTTGTATCAGAAAATTATTTACTTATGTTTTTTTTTTTTCAATTTTAACTAGGAGGTAAATTAATCTAACAACAGTTTTGTCGTTCTGTAGTCATTATATTAAATTACACATTTGTAAATGACTTTTTTTTTTTGTTCTTTCATGATATTTACAAATGCATTAAAAAAAATGTACATCGAGTAAATGTGCACTCAGGAATATAATAACATGAAAATGTTCGTTGAGAAACTACTCACTGGTAGCACTCAAATAATAAATTTACAAGAGAATGTCACGAGGCCACCTTATTTTTAGATGCCTCCGAAGATTATTAGGGATCAATGAGGAAGCAAAGTTTGAAACAAGAGTGTTCGGATGGTTTTTAAGTTTGTTATGGAAGGATAGGTACCTGGATTAGGACAAATTGGAAACATATGGAACATTAAGGTTGTTATGCATAATTTTATTTGTGACAAAGTAAGGAGCGTTGAGGATTTTATGAAGGATTTTGGATTGTAAGGGTTGGATACAAAATTCCATGTGAGTCATTGGTCCAGAGTGGAGTCCTAGGTAACGGATTTGTTCAACTAGTAATTGTTAAAGGATACTGTAGGAAGTAGGTAAATGATCTTATTCTTGAAAAAGTTGTTGAAGAAAAGAAGATAATATATTTTTTATTGATATTAACCCTAACAAAAAAATATGATATGCAGAAATAAAAAAAAAAAAAGTTCTTTCTTAAATAATATTTTAGAATGTTAATTTCAAGCTAACATTGAAATGGAAATGGCTAGTGGAAGATTGTTTTATTAACAGTGTAGATTGCTATTAAGATTCTCTAGCTTGTATTGTATACAAGCCATATTGTATACAAGAGGTCATGAAGTTACAGTTTTTTTTTTTTTTTCTTATGTTAAAAGAATAAAGATGGGAAGAAATAGCACTATTGGAAGATAGTTGGAAATGTTTATATGAAGTGTTGGGGAAATTGCTAGCCCAAGTTCGTGAGTAGTTAGTACCAGTTGAAATTTTAAAAAAAGTTGGATAAAAAATATATATCTCACATTTACTGGATGTGCATAATCATCAATAGTTATGAAAATTTAATATCTTGCTTAATTTTAATCATAATTAATTAATTAATTAATAAGTTAACATTTCTTACTATGTGGTTTAGCGTTTTTTAACTCGAGGGTATCCAGTTCAGTGTATATTTCGTCGACAAACCTCGGCTGGAACCGGCCGTTTTCGGTCAGCTCTGGAGTGAGCTCTATTTCTAGGCCGGCGGACCTGACGAAGTCGTCTCCTGTTCTTGCTAAACTGGAGAAGAATCCTCCTTGGCTCCTCTGTTCGGTCGTGTCGGTGTTGGTCCGGACTATCCTGGCTGCCTGGGACAGTCTGTATTCCTTTCCCAATATCGCCGAGAAGGAAGCGAGGACACCGCCCTCCAGGCAGGAACTCCATTCTCCAGCAGAGCAACTACCTTCGGTCTCCCATTGGCTTGCTGTTTAATAAGAAAAAGTATATTAAATATTAAATAAGTAAGTTTGTCCATGCGAATACATTAGAAATAAGTAAATGTTTGTTTATTTATTTGTAAAATATGTTATTTATGGGAGGAGGCTCTGATAGAGGATCCAACAATAAGATTTGAAACAAACAAGGTGGACCAAGACCTCTAAATACGAATAGAGAAAACGTATAAAAAATGAATTCCACATCTACAGGAAAAATATAAAAAGGAAATTGGTGGACTAGAGTTTTCGGTTCGGCGAATTTTGGGAGGAGGGGCGAATTTTATCTTTGCAAAATATGTATGACAGTTGCTGTTAGCTCAATCAGAAAATAACACCTTTGCTTCTTATTTTATTTGCTGTTTATTTTTCTTAAGGAAGAGTTTTTAGTTGTTTTAGGTAATAAGACATGGAAACTTTTCTCTTCTCTGTATTCAATTTATTCTAAATAATTGTTATTTATCTAGATACATCTGTCTAACGTTTCGGACTGTTTTTTCATCATTGAAACATCCTTCTGCATGTTATTAACGTTTGTCTTTTTTGTTTTCCTTATTATATTTGACAATCATATACTACCTTAGTCAATTTTCATTTCATTATTACAAATGTTAATAACATGCAGAAGGATGTTCTAACAGTGAAAAATGAGGTGACTCTGATGATGGACAAAGAGTCCGAAACGTTAGACAGATGTATCTAGATAAATAAGAATTATTTAAAGTTTCTACTCCTTATACCTAAAACATCTTTTCGAAATTTAGTCGAACCATCTCTTAATTTCCCGCTAACCATGTATTATAACTTGTTTCTGAAGCCCCCTCTCCCCAAATGGTAAAATATAACCATGTTTAAAAAATATCAAAAACTATCTCTTAAAGTATTCTTGTTCGTTTAATTACACTTTATAGGACTTCAAGAACCACTTAAACACCATTTCATATAGGTGGTTAATTTCTTTCTTTATTTTCTAATTAATTATTGTTATATGTATATGAAAAAAAAAATCTTCCGTGCTGAAGCTCCCTCCCCAAAAATTAAATCCTGGATCCGCTAGTGGTTTCTGAGATACGACTCTATCTCAGAACCAAGAACTAATTTAAATATAAGGAAGCATAATAAATAATATCAGTTATTTTCGAACTACAATGAAGTAAGGATTTTCTTTGTTGGACAGTATATATATTGTTAGAGATTGAAATATTGGGTCTTGTTTAGATTAGGCCCGCCAGTGATTTTTTTAATGATATTTACTAACAGTTGTTAGGAAACTTGATAATATTGATATAGAAATAAAATCACATGTTTAAATATTATTTAATTTAGTATTGTTTGTGTAATAGCGGTTATAAAGTGATAACACGATGGATATTTTTGAAGTTGACTATTTATTTAAAGAAGAGGAACGAGCCAGGATTTTCTTTGAAGAAAGAGGAATTCTACTTAAAGAAATCTTTAAGGAGATAGTAGAATTTTGGCTTCCAGAGGTATCTGGAGTAACTCATTAAAAGTGTGTTAATGTTTTTGATTATATATAAAATGTTCCTGTTAAATAAATCATATGTTTCTTTAACCCATATTTTTTAGTTTATCAATCAGTAACTGTTACTAGATAAAATAACTGGCGGGCCTAATCTAAAGGGGACCCTACACGGTCAATCGGAATTGCACTAATGACGTTCCGAATTGTCGTGTAAGGCAGTGAATGAAGTACTGAAGGTGGTGCGCTGCGGATTTCCGAACATCCGGAAATCAAAGGTTCATTCACGAGAAGTGGAGCAGGGACTGAGGTAAAAGTAGTGCGGAGACTAACCATAATGCTGGATAGGTTAGGTTACCTAGGCCTCACAACCATTATAAATTTCTGATTTTCATTATATGTAAATAGTTAAATAATTTTTCATGTCCCTTGTTTATAATTTTAAACCATCTTCAACTATTTCTTTTAAATAGTCAAGTGGGCAACAAAATAAAAAAAAAAAATGAGGAAACTTCACAATTTACTTTAGGAAAAAAAAACAACTTAAACGTTGTGTATATTTATCAGTTCTTTTCCCATTTTTCTCAACAAATTTATTATTTTCGCAATACTTTTTCTTAATTTTTGTAAGTAGTAGACTTATATTTTACTAACTTTTGTCAAAACGATTTTCTATGAGACTAACCTTCTATGAGACTACTACTAGATAGGTTAGTTTACCTAGGTCTCGTTATTAAGTAAATAGTTGTTTATATCCCTAGTCTATATTATTATTAACCATTTTCAACTATTTTTTCTTTAAATAGTCAAGTAGGTAATAAATTGGAGACAAAAAAAGGGGAAACTTCACAATTTACTTATAGAAAAAAATCTTTAACTGTTGTGTTTATTTGCCATTAATTTTTCCATTTTTCTTAACAAATTGATTATTTTCGAAATACTTTTCATAGATTTTTGGATGTAGTTGACTTATATTTTGGACTAACTTTGGTCTAAACGATTTTCAGGCACTAGGAAGTAATTATTATATCTCCGTTTTTCTCTTGATGCCCAATATTATAAATGACAATGTCCAAATAAGCATATCTATGCTGTTTCTTTGTTCACAACTGCGCTAAATTGGCCAGCAACGATCTAACCTAAATAAGCAACGATAAGTAATGATCAGTAATGATTGAACGTGTAAGGGTCTTCATGATCAAAGCGATAGCGGGCAATCTTGGAACTTCTTGTGACGTTCATTCATGAATTACCGTGTAGAGTCTGCTTAAAGAAGACCCGAAATATTTTTAATACTTTGAAAACAATTATTTTATTATTTGGTATTTCTGCATGCGTTTATTTATTTTATTTTTATAAAAATAACTAAAAAAACTGACTAAAAAACTTTAATTAATTATTAAAGTTCTTTTGATAAAGTTTCTTGCAAATATTATTCCTACGTACGTCATTTGTATGATCGATTATTATGTAGTGTCAGAAAAAAAAGTCGATCTTAAGTGGTTATATTTTACTGCTGTTTTAATGATATGTAGCTTAAGTACGTATTAATGATACCTATCTTAAGTAATTAAATGTAAATTAATGATAGATTAAAATTAACACTACTCACAACTCTTAGCTGAAGTGTAGTCAATAGTCACGTTCTCATAACCACTCGAAGGACGAGAGTAGATACAGAGTGTAACTATTGGTAGCAGTAATGGCCATCCCATTTTACCCTCACATCTAGAAGAAAATACACATACAATTTTAGAACAGAATAAATATATTGAAGAAAAAGAGATTATCTGAAAGTTTTCAAATATCAGCATTAAACCTGTCAGAATTTCATAACTTAATTATTTCTAAAAGGTGTTTTTTTGTCGGTACGCCATAACTTCGTCAATTCTTCATCAAATCCAATGATTGACGACTCGTTTAAAAGATATTCTTCTGTTTCGCATGCGAAAAATAGTCCCATCCCTCTGAAATTCCTAGAAAAAAGTTATGGAGGAAAAGAAACTTTATTTGCGGATAACTCAAAAAGTATGCCTTTTTTTTCTGGATTGTACCCATGATAATTAGAAAGTTTACTAAATTACATACAAAACAAAAAAAAATCGGTCAATTATTAACAAAGATACAGTCCATTAGTTTTGTTATACTTAATAATGTCTTCCTGTTTAAAGTAGTAGCATTTAGGAGTAGAATAGTCTACTAATTTGTTTTTCTGGATTTTATATTAACTTTATATTTTCTTAAAGAAATTTGGTTGTTCTTAAATTTTATTTTTTTTTTTAGTAATTAAAAGTATCCTATGATCGGGACACTTTTTTTGTCTATATTACTTTTATTATCTTTCCAGTCAGCGTTTAAAAATAGGTCCTAGCAAAGCAATTTGTACAAATATTTTGGTCTATTATGTTTAATATAATATTATAATCGACTAAGGAAAAAACATTAATTCCTTCCTTACATAATAAATAGGAACTACTTATTTCCATATTTTTTCGCTATTTCTTTACTAAAAAAAAATTTTCTGCGAATTTTTTGCACGGGCCAACTAGTCTTAACTTATAGACAAGATGTTTGGAAAAAGAAGGTAGATTAGGAATCAGACGAAAGGGTCAAGAGAGTTTTTGTAAAACCGTACACAAATATAGTCAACGATGGCAATGAAGAATAAATTTGTAGGTTTCATTATGTAACGATTTATTGTTTTGTATATTATTAAATTCAGTACTTTTTTTTTAAATCTAGTTCCCTCATACAGTATTTATTTGTTAAATTTTATATTGTCTATACATTAAGCATAATAGATGTGTATATCTGATGAAAAATTATACATATCTTATAAATTTGTAAATTACATGATCGTGGTAAACTTCACATTTTCCTAATTAAACGGAAGAGAGAAAATAAATTAGTCCACGAACCTTAAGCATCGTAAATTTCATCAACTGATGATAAAAGTTTCCCTTTTTTTTTTTCTTGCGTGGGATGTTACTGTGACGAAAATTCCAAATTTTCGACCTAGGTGGCCCTCCGGATCACTTTTAACTATCTCCAAAACTGTTGTATTTTTTCGTATTTTCGGTATTTCGACCATCGGGGAACAAGTTATAAACAAAAAACATTCAATACAATTTTAAATTATATTAAATTTACTTCAATTTGAGACCAGACAAATTGGCTCGGTAAAACTAATATCTTTTTAAATACAGGTTTCCAAAATTTGACAAAGTATCCAAACTTGAAAATTTTAAGCTATAATAATTCTCATGATTTTTCATAAGCAATTGTCTTCATATCTTGTATAACCTATATGATACAAGCCAATAAAATAAACATTTATTCAATTTAACCTTTTGAAGGGTGAGTGAAGGAGGAGGGAGAAGGTTTTGTGGGTGAGGTGAATTTCATTGTCCATAACCAGACAACTAAAATTGAAATACAAAATTAATTTAACAAACGTTTACATCAAGTGTATACAAAAAGCGTAAATGAAGCGAAAGGAAGTGTAAACGAAATGGGAATTAAAGGTGTTTCCTCAGATTCGAAAGATCTTGGCCAAGCAAATTCACCTACCAATCTCCTTCAGTGCCATATTAATCATCCTGGATTGACTCCTTCATAATCACAATGGGGGAAACTGATAAAAGCAAGAACATTTAGCAGTTTTGAGGCTTGATATTCAAAAGTTTTCTGGGAAACACCGAGGTCGAAAATTTGGATTTTGTAGCTCAATCATATCCCATACGAGACAAAAAAAAAAAAAAAAAAAATATTGTGCTATAGACCACAGAATAAAAGTGAAAACATCAATAAAGCGAGATTTATAATATAGACTATAAATTATAAATAATAGCTCATTATAAAGAGGATGGAGTGCTGAACATTAACCTTGCTTACAGTATTCAGGTCCGTATTTTTAATGTCTGAGATATTAAAACTCGTTATTATTTGGTTTTCGACAATTTTTTTCCCCTTTTGCCTCTCTAACACAGCTTTGCGTTAAGATACAATTTTGAACAATAGCTCATTACAAAGAGTATGAAATAGTGAACATTTCGCTTGCCTACAATATGCAAGTCCGATTTTTAGTTTCAGAGATTACTACTTGATGGAACTGTTTATAAAACGTCTGTTTTATTATAGCTTTAACCTTTATTAACATTGTCGGAAATCCGAACGATCTCTTTATCCGTTCCTCTGTTTTCTAATCCTATTGAATGACGTACGTGAAGAAATGATGGGTATTTCCTGTTCTCATACCACGTAACGACCCACATACGTGATTTTGTTCTAAATAATCCCATAAGCTAAGATTTTATATATATATATATAAGCATTTTAGATGGTTCAGAATGTATTCTATTAAATTCAATTATTTCTAACATTAATTACGCTGATGATACAACAATTTTAACAAACCACGATAACTCAGCCTAGCCTCACTGAATTTACAAAACCACTTTATAAATTTACAAAATGTGTTTCAGCGTTGATATAAAGTGACACTTCTGGTTAGCCGATTTTGAGGAAAAAGTTGCTGTCACATCTAAGCCATGTACCTGTCTGCAATACGTAATATCAGTTTCGTACGACTTTCCGTTTTTGTGATAGACTGCTAATATACAGACACACACACCATTTTTCGATACTTGGTCATTTCGATTCAAGGTATCTCAAAACGTGTATTTCCCTTAGAAACTCAAAAATTTTCTCGATCGCAATACTTACCCTTGCTATGTATTACATATATAAGTAAGTGAAAGTAAAAATGAGTACACACTTAGGAAAATAAGATTAAATTATGACAAAATAATGTTAAGATTGTAGATTAACATTTTTACTTCAACAAGACACATGCCCACCAGTTTATATAGACGAAAACCAAACTCAGACGGACACTGTACCTAATTTCAGACTTATATTCGACAGAAGGATGACCTGGGGTCCACATGTCGAAATGAAACGGCAAATTTTAAACAAGCTATTGAAAACACTGTACGCACTTTTTTCTAAATCGAAATTGAAAATTGTACTGAAACTAACTACATATACTTACCTATTCAAACCCATCGGAAATTAGTCGGGTAAAATTATGGATTGACCTCAACATGCAAAAAATAAACATGAAACTTGTCTGATATTGTTTATTATCTCCCCCTTAAGTTTTAACGTCTTCTACCACATATTATAAATTATATGAAATTAATGTTAATCTGAACTCATTATTATCACCAGATTCCTCATTGATTGATATCGAATATATTTTATTTTATATGACCTTTTTAGAATCATTAATAAAAGAAAGAAAATCTGAATAATAATTTGATGTTACGAAAATGTTAAACAAATAATTAAACTTTATAAATATATAGTCTACTATGAGCAACATCAATTTTGTGGTTTGAAGCAATTTTTGCTTAAAATTGAAATACAATAAGATCATAAATATCTTCGTAGACATTAGTTTTATCAAAAAAATGTATAGGATCATTGTTATAGAGATTTTAAACTTCTTCAATTTCGTACGTAACAATATTTACGAAAAACCTCACAGTTTTTGAGATAGTGTTAAAAAAATATAGTTTTTTAGTCCTCTCCCCTCTCGCCATCACAAACCGAAGCGGGTTTCTTTGCCAGTTATTATGGAGAGGGCAGTAAAAAATGTCTGACAAGTTTCATCTTTATTTTTTTAATGTTGGGATAAGGCTGTTTTTTCCCTAACTTTACTGGACTACGTATGCCTCTCAGGTTTATGATTCAACAAAAAAGGCGCACTTGCAAAAACTATAATAATTTTAATCTCAAATTTTAAGTCTAATTAGAGCAGCTCTCTGGTACGTAAACAACAAAATTGTATATAACGACCAACGACAACCAACTATCGACTAACGCATACGTACTATCTACTCTCGATTTTGTCTCAAGCTACTCGGACACAACAACAGACTTATAAACGACATGTCCAAGAGCGACGCCCATCAGGAGGAGAAAAGAAGTTGGATGAGAGCTCTCCTTTCTTAAATCGAGGAAGAAAATAATGACCAGGAAGAGGTGCTGCTGGTTGCTATTCCTCCTCATGTCTATAATACCATTCAATTTAACACAACAAATCTGCTGATTGTCACTATCATGGCAGATGCGCATACATATTTGAAGAGAAAAATAAAATTATTAATAGTAGGTGATATAGAGAAGGGAATTTTAAAAAAGAATTGAGCTGGACAAATGAGAGTAAAGTATGGAAGCAAAGTTCAGAGTGTAGAGATAACCTGCCTGGCCGGAGTGATAAGGCCTTCAATGGCCGAGTTCACAGAGCATTGTGATTTCTGTCCCTCCAGGACTTCACTGCTTTTGTCTTCTCCCTCTGCAATGAATTATCGAAACGATACCGAATATTAAACTTTTATTCCAACATCTGATTTTAAATTACTCAAATAAAAAAAAAAATCTGTTTGTTTCATAATAAATATACTGTTCTTGCTAACTACATGCCAACTTTTTTACATTCCAACTGCTTGGAAAGAAAATATTTGAATGAAATCAAATTTTCTCCTGGTGGTTTTCAACGCATATCAAAATATCAGGGCCATTGATTTCAACATAGGTCGAGATGAATCTCAACACTATTCTGCAACAAACTTCAACTAAATTGATATGCAATTAAAGCTTATCGTACAAGAAATTTTGTACAAAATTGGTGTATCCGCAGTTCAGATAA